GCGGAGCAGCTTTTCTCGCCGCGGAGGACGCAGGTGGCGGGACCGCAGCGCGTCTGGGCGGTCCCGCCGCCCGCGTCCTCCGCGGTGAGAAAAGCCCCGTTCGTATGTAGGGATCCGACGTAAGTCGGATCCACGTAGCCCAGGGACTACCCGTATATACTGAAAAACCAGTTTGGAAATTTTCAGAGGGGTAGCTGAGTTAGTTTGTAACTGGAAAAACTTAGAAAACAACAAATGGTCTGGTAGCACTTTATAGACTGACAAAACATGTAGATGGTATCATGAGCTTTCGTGGGCACAGCCCACTTCTTCCATTTGAAAATGTAAGCTTTTTGTGGCCAGATTCTGCCACTCAGTTACTTCAACAAGACTATTTGTAGAGGGAAATGCTGCCTGGCTCTTTATTTGCCAACAATCTGGCTCTTTATTTGTAAACATGATGGGGAAAAAGAGCAGCTCACCACACTCCTGGTAAAAAAAACATTGACTCAGACATGGTTGATCCTTGACAGGGAGGGGCTGCCTGAAGTCTCCAAGTACAAATATGGTACTGCTAATATGCTGAAGGGAAAAGGTCAATTTTTCTTTAAATCTTCTCTTCAGCTATTATAAATATTTTTCTAGCCAAAAGCAACTAATAACATTCTATGCAGTGGCAGCAAAGAGATCTTATCAGACAGCCTCCTCCCATAGTCAGAACCTGAAACATCTAAAAGTCTGCTATCCAAACGTATAGGGTACAAGTTCACTGCAGAAGAGAGACCTGGCTGCATGCAGACTAAGGTTGCCAGGTGTCCGGTATTGACCCGGACAGTCCAGTATTTTTGCTTCCTGTCCAGTAAAAAAAAAATTCAGAAAATACAAGACACCTAAAATGTCTGGTATTTTCTGTTTTTTTCTCCCTGCCAGGAGGCAAAAATACCAGACACCTGGCAACCCTACAAACCCTCAGCAACTAGGCCCAGCCCCGGGGCCCTCCCACCCCCCTGCTTACCTGGTTCTGCAGGGCTGTCTTGTGGCTGGAACAGAAAAACAAGATGGCCACTGGCAAAAAGCCTTTTCTTAAAGGGGCCATGCTTTATTTTTTTTTTTTTTTGCTTAATAACTGCTGTCAAAGTCCTTCCCCAGCCCCCCAACAACTTTGGTCTCCTTTTTTTTACTCAACAGAATTTTTTCCCAGTGTTTTTTTGGGGGGGCGGGGCGAAGTTCGGTATTTTTGGTTAAACCACTTGGCAACCCTAATACAGACAGTTTAGGCTACATCTACACTTGCAATTGATTGACAAAACCTTTGTTATTCACTCTCCTGCTGACAAAGCGAAAGCTCTTGGTCAGGGCTAGAAGTATTCTAACAAACAGCATTCACACATGCTGACCTTTAGCAACAAAGGGCTGTGTCAACACAGCCTTGCCCTAAAAGCCGGATAGCGTAGACATTCCTTACAAAGAACAGCCTCTCACTTTGAGCAATAGAATAAGCATGCTGACACTGAACAGCTGCTACAGTTTCTAACAGGTTTATCAGCAGGATCCCCATGAACCATTGATGTTCCTGGACCAAAGAGCCCAGAAACAAGGAGGGCTGGTGGCCGGGAAGGAGCACGGTAGGGGGCACCAGCGACTCAGCTGGGAGCCCAGTGTCGGGGGGGAGGGGTGTGTAGATGGGGAGCACAGCAGGGAGTTCTGGTCCCAGTGGAGCTCCCTGGCACCAGCAGCCAGGAAGCCCCAGCTTGGCAGCAGCTCTAACCCCAACAGCAGCCAGGGAGCTCAGGCCCTGCCCCAGATGTGGAGCTCCAGCCAACCCCCTTCTGGCTTCAGCAGCCTGGGTGCTCCAGCAACAGCAGCACTCAGGAAGTCCTGGCTCCAGCTGTGGAGCTCCAGCTCCTGTCGCGGAGCCAGGCAGCTGCGGAGCTCTGCCCTGGCTGTGGAGCTCCGCCCTGGTTGTGGAGCTCCGGCAGTGGGGCTACGGCCCTGGCAGCAGTGGGGCCGGTGGTATCAAGAGAGTCCTGGGGATTGGGGCAGCAGCGGGGGCAGGTCGGAGCCCTAGTCTGGTGGCAGCACGACCTTCCCTGTTCCAGAAATCCTAACCTGTATCATCCTGGACAAGTGATATCATTTATTTCCATTCAAAATAAGTTTTCAAAAATTAATTTAATTAAAATCTAGATTAGTGAATTTAAAAACTGCTCAGCTCCATGTGCTGTGAAGGCCATCAGTTCACTTCTGTGTTGTCGCAGTACTTTGTAAATAAGATGAATATTTAAGAATTCAAGAAATCAGATGCATACAAATTACAACATGGAACAACTGGCTTCCTCAGACCAAAGACTATCAGATTATAGCGGAGGACTTGGAATTTTCTGCTAACAGACTAAATGGAATTAATCTGAGAAAAGAGCCTAACTTGCTACCAATTCTTGCAAAGTAGTATTGTGTCTTTTGGCAATAAATTCCTCTTGTGCTCAAACTGTGAGTGTCTAAGGACAGAATTACTATCTGATCACTTCTACCTATTTGGATCATTACTTCTCTGGACACTACTGTAGTACATGTAGTAACTAATTATATTTTCCTCTGAAGAAACACTACCCATTTCAGAGGGTTATAATGGACCGCCCTAAACAAGTCTAATGGGATGCTAAGAGATATAATAACAGCAGGAAGAATGGGATGAAACTGAGCAAAGGAAAATGTAGATTAAATAGTGTGAAAAGGGTCTGAACAGTGAGATATGTGTCACTAAGGTTGCTCCCCTGAGAGGAACTGTAGTAACCCTATTACTTTGACCAGCTATGCACTGCTTAAAACAAGAACACAATGTAAAACACAGCAATAACTCTGGATTAGAAAACTGCTATGGCTAATGACTGTGGCTATTGACCAGCTCGGCCGTTTCAATCATGTCACAGCCATCATTCTGCTGCATTACCTCCTAATGGTGTATAAATGCTGTCTCATTACAGGGGGAAGGGAAGAAGCATCTTTGTTTTGAAAATTTCCTCAGATACAGGGTACCTACTTCACTGCCACAGAACTTCACCTCTCTGCAGTACTCAGAGGGTGTTGTTAAATGCTGCCCTCAATATTCATTTTACCTTGAAACTGTCCAAGTGGAAGCATTAGATTCTTCTCAGGGGGAATGTAGCGTAAAACAACTATCAGCTCTCCTTTATATTGAAGCCCAACATCTGCTGCAACCTCCAGCTAATGGAGAGGGGAAAAAAACAGAAATCCATCTAATCTTAATAATTTATTCATTAATTTTCAATTATTTGTATTCTATAAGTAATCCATGATATATGCTTCATAAACAGGTCATGTCACTGTACAAAGCTCACAGCGAAATAGCCTTCACTAACTGAATGCAGACAACCACATTTTTGAAAATTTCATAGTCTAGGGAATGCAAAAAAGCTCAGAAGAGCAGATGTCACGTGCCTCACACTAGAAGCTATTTGATAAATATACATAGGAGAGAAATATGGTTTGTTAGAATGAAGGAAAAGTTCCAACCCATGTCACAGCAAACAAAGAGGTCAAAGTAAACTGGATACATAAACTGTAGCTACTTTATGGGGCAGTTTTTGATGACACTCATTCATGTTGATTAATACCTTAGTAACTAGCCCCACAGATTTCAGTAGAATTATTCTTGGAACAAGGGGGCATAATCTGTCCTTGAAAGGGGGGGGGGAAAAAAAGAGATTTACAGAAATAAATATTACTTCTCAAATATCATTTCTCAACTTTCCGCATCTCTTTTTCCATTAAATTTCTAAACCCAATCCAAGAGTATGCGCTATGCTTTTTTATAGCACATTAATTGAAAGCAATATTAGATTAGCATTTTTTAATTAAAATAACTAATTATAAGCTCATGTTTAGAAACTAACTAGTTTGGTAGGTCTCTCTTACCCATAAAATAAATAAATATGTCAGTAAAGAGTGTTTTCTCCTAAAGAAGTGGAATACAGAAGAGAAATTGCCCATGAAACATCATTAAGCTCCCAATCATGTGGAACATTTAAGCATGTACCTAACTTTGCTTTCACAGGCAGCTCCATTGATGGCAGCGTGACAACTCATGGAAACAGAGTTTATAAATTGGCTTCAGAAACTTGCATTTAAGCATGTGTTAGATTCAGATCTCATGGACTTAATCTGCTGCAAGGGAGAATGAGGTTAGATATTAAGAGAAACTTTGTAACTATTAGGAGGGAGGAATCTGGCACAGGCCTCTAAGGGAGGTTGTGGCATTTCCATTACTGGGGGTTTTAAGGACAGGTTGGGCAGACACCTGTCAGGGATAGTCTAGGATTACTTGGTCCTATCTCAATGCAGACAACTGGACTTTTTGACCGTTCCAGATCTCTTTTGTCACTACAGTTCTATGAATCTATGATACATAAAATGCTGCCCAGCAATGTTCCTTTTAATCTTTTTCCATCCACTGTGGAATAAATTTTATGTGCACCAAGGCATTTGTGAATGTGCACCACCAGTATAAAGAAAAACAAAAACCTAGCTGTGGGAGCTCTGTTAATCAGTTGGCTAGTATTTCAATCTCTCCCGAGAGGCTACAGAAGAGCACAGCTTATATGGAACACTGCTGTGCAGTATGACAACACTGAGTGACTGGACAATACCTAGAATTACAGTCTGAGCACTGCATCGAGGTACTACATTGCTGATAAAATAATTATACTGGTGATAATATACATCCAAAACTTATCCAACTTGCCTACTGATCCCAATTACTAGGTAAATAATTTTACGTTTTGGGGGGGGAAAAGTCCCAGCCTCAGACAGAAATACACAAGAAGCTAAACTGCAGGTAAAGGCACTATTACCTGATTAATAAAAATATTTAGGGCTAGATCCTGCCATCATATACAGGGATGGGATTTAGAGGAAGATGCAATAAACCTTGTAGTGGAAAATTGTGGAATAACCTGACTATAGGCGGAAATTTCATTTGAATAAACCCTGGCCATCAAGGAAGCTTCACTGTGGAAATAATAAATTCCCCCCATTTCACAGATGGGGGAAGTGAAGCACAGAAGTTAAGGCCCTGATTTTCCTGGAAATAACACACACGTCTCCCAATCCCCAATCCTGAACTTTAACCCTAAAGCTCTTCTCCCAACTGTTCTGATCTGACCACACACCCCTAAGAGGATTGATCATCGCATGCTAAGAGGATACATGGATCTTAATCCTCAACTTTTTTTTTTATTAAAACAGCTAAGTAGCATCAGATTACAACAAATGTCACCCCTTAGCACTCTTGACAGAGACATGGAGTTCATATTGTAGGACAGTATTCTGCCTAGCATATGTATAAATAAAACCTGTCCTTAATGCTGCTTGCAATAATCTGTCATTCAGAAAAATCTCTTATTTGCCTACAATGAACTGAGTTCTGCCTACAAAAACAGACAAATCATAGAAACGGTCAGGCTGTAAGAGCCCATGAACAGTCAAGTAGGGTAGCCCTCTGCACTGAGGCAGGACCTAGTAAACCTTGACCAGTCTGACAGATGTCTGTCCAACCGGTTCTTAAAAACCTCCAATAAGTTGGAGTCTACAGACTCCTTTATAAACTTATTCCAGAACTTAACTCCCATTATGGTTAGAAATTTTTCTTAATAGCTAACCTAAATCTCCCTTGCTATCGATTAAGCCCATTATTTCTTGTCCTACTTTCATTGAACATGGAGAAACATTATCTCTGTAAACATTATCCAGATCATCCTGGCAGACAAAGGAGACATATTCTCGTTCTCTTTTACTTGGAAATGAGATAGAATTAATAACTCTTATAACGAGTTTGGAAATAATCACACAGCATTTCCTAGCTGGAATGGCTGAAATGCTCAGACCTCTTTACTTTTTGGTCTGAGTGAAAGAGCTCCATCAGTGCCTTCGGTGTTACAATTAAAAAAAACAAAACTAAAATGATGTGAAGTAGAACAGACACCGAGTCACAACTCTTACAGTCCAGTAGTTTCATAATGTAACATTATGATTAGCCTGCACACAAAATGTGTGTCTCTTTGTAAAATTCTCAATTCTAAATAAGTGCAAAATTCTACACTGCTCCAGGGCTGGTACAAAGAAATAGGAATGCTGATAAATGTGCCCTCTGCTCCAGGGCAGGCCATCATGGAACCAAGCTGGGAAAAGCACTGCTCATGATAATTTATCAGTAAGGCTATGTCTAGGCTACACTGAAGTTTCGAAAGAGGATATGCAAATTCCTCACTTTTGAAAACATTTTGAAAGTACTTTTGAAAGCATTAATCAGGATGCATTTTTTTCAGCAACTCCCCTCCTCTTTTTCAAAAAACCGTTCTTCCTCAGACAATGAGGTTTACGTGGCTTTTCGGGGGGGGGGGAGGAGAGAGTTGCCAAAAAAAAAAAATCCTACTACTTTCACTTTCAAAAGCTCTGCTTTCAAAAGTGAGATCAGAAGAAGATATGCAAATTCCCATGGAAAGCATTTGTGTCTAGCTAGTGCAGGGTGCTGACTACAGAGAAAGTAATTATTCACCTGGGGCAATCATGATGATTCTATGAGATGCGTCCTTCTGTGGGGTGCTTCACTATAGGCGTGCTTTGTCTCTGCGCTGCTGATTAGAGCACTTCAGTAACAGTGTCGGTTAGACCCACACATGTGTGCTGTCTCTCCTCATGCCTTGCCACGAGGCTAGCCAGATCAGGCAGACTAACCACCTCTCCCCCCGCAGAAGGAGAGTGGATTGTAGAACATCCATATGGACATACATCTTAAAGAACCATCATTACTGCACAAGACAAGTAATTACTACTACTTTGAATAGTGTCCCTACGGATACTCCTCTGTAGGTGACTACCCAGTAATATCCCTATTAGAAGGCTGGGGCTTCAGAGTCTGGTCACTTAGAGATGACAGAGCTGAAGATGACATCAGAGGCAGTCTCTCTAGTGATTGCAAGATGTTCTGTGAAGGTATAGAATAACACCCATTTCATCACTCCACAGTTTTTAGAGACAGGCACTCTCCTGAAAGAAGCGATGGATGAGGTTTTGCCACTGCCATTTCCCATAGAGCCCATAATTCCTTTGATAGCCACTGGTATATATGCAGTTATAAAGTGGATGCCTGAGCAGGGCTAGAGAACTCTGGCTACTAGAGCAGTAAGCATATTAGAAGCATATAATCTTAACATTTATAACAACTCTTTAGAGTTGCTCCAGTTCCAAAAACAAACACTTTAGCTCCTCTCTAGTGAGGTGTCAGAAGACAGTTAAGCACTAAAGATGCCTTATTCTATAGAGTTTCTGGCTTGTGTACCAAATAGCAGGATACTATACCTTCCTATCTACTCAGCATGTATAAAAGAGCAATGTTGAACCTCACTACCATAGAAAATGGTTAATTGCTTAAAAATGATTCACAAAGAAAGGTGCTGTTTGAGAGGCTAGCAGGTGATTGTTTGAAAGCGGTCCATTGCTTCATGTGCTATTTCTTTAACAGGTCCTTTGGGCTGCATTTACTATTGGATGTATGTGTCTGTAGAGCTGTCCCATCCATTGGAGGGTTCGGGGCTGTTGCCCCAGGCCCACGCAGAGCAAAGAGCCACAGGACAGAGAGCATGGGCAGTGCCACTGGCCCCGTTCTGGGGTTGGATGCAGGGGACTCTGGGGTCAGTGGCTGGGGCTGGGGGGGGGGGGGGGGGGGGGGGGGCTGAGGAAGAGATGGAATGGAGTCAGACGAGGGGTGGGAAAAGACATGATGGGGATGGAGTAGGGGCAGTAAGAGGGTTGCAGGGCCTGGGTTAGAGGGGGAGGTTGTCCCAGGCCCTAGTTCTCCCCACAGGGATGGCTCTCTGTGTATGTTCATTTCTTTAATTGGTTTTGTTTAGTTATGAATGGGCATTCATATATATACTTACCATATGTGTTGTTTTGTTAGAAGTGCTATTTCTTTTACAGGTCCATCCCCAAAGCAGTTTATTAGAAATATATCATTTTGCAGTGTCACAGCAGTGAGAGAAAAAACAAAACCTCACTGATTTTGCTTTACTGTTATTCCACTGAAACTAGAGAGCCTCACCTTGGGTTGAAGCACAAACCATTCATCTGCCTGATTTTCAAAATTCCAGGAGTCCAAAGGAATTTCTACCTCCCCAAGAAAGCTGTTGTGCCCAAATCTGTCATAGTGCCAGACAGAAAGCTGTAAGGTCCTGGTCTCTAGCTGTGTATGACTGATGACATACTATTAAAAGAAAAACAGAGTAAAGAAACTATTTAATGAGAGTCAAGTCCAGTTCCATAACGGCACTATATAATAAACATACTAACCTAACTATATGGTAGCTGACTAATGAGACATGGAAGAAACATCTATTTTCCTTACAAGTAAAGATCAATTCAGATACAGGAAGCTATTATTCAAGAGAAATCTATAAAGGAGAATTGTTCACCATCCAGCCTGACTGTACCTTTTTACATTATTTTTGTTGTTTTGTCATTTATCTGTATTATTTCTTTACCAGGGTAATTTTCACTGAAAAGGAAACTACTTAATTAATATTTATTTAATTTTTACAAAGTAGGTTCCACATTAATTAAATATAATCATTAAGATAAAAGTCTATTCTATAACAAAGAGCCTTAAAAAAAGTTGGCAGCATCTTTAATAAGCTTTCTAAATAAAATTCACCCTCTTCTCAGTAAAGAATGTCCACAATTTTTCAAAAGTCCAAATGGTTACAGTGATAACACTTAAAATAGATATATTAACTAGCAGATTGTAAAAAGCCAGCAGTTACCCCGTTAAAATGATGAGACTTTGTCTTGAAAGCCTGAAAAGGCCAAAAGGATCAATTCTAAGAGAGTTTTTATATGATAATAATGGGAACAGTTAGGACAAACAGTTCTTCTGCTACTGAATCTAGCTATTTTAGCTCTTACTCACAAGTCTGAGTAAGCCACCTTTGTCAGAACACACACAAACACATATATAACATGTCATCAGATTATAAGGGCCCTTTTATACGAAGTTTGGAAATCATGTTAGGATTGAGCTACAGAACAGCATTAGATATGAGATGGATACTCACTCATTTTTCCCCGGTGCAGACCAGACTCAACTATACTATAAACCATTTTACAAATAGTTCTATAAAACAGGTCTCCCCTTGGTAAGCAGTCTGGCCAGACCAGGGGTATATATATTTTTAAAATGATTTTATAGCCAGCGTAGGCCAACTATACTGGCTGAAAAGTTATGTTAGCCCCTTTAAAAGGAAACTTCTTTACACATTTTTATTAGCCTCTATAGAAAAAAAAATTAAACATTTGAGGTGGGATTTTCAAAGGTCTGAAGGACTTCAGAGTATAAATCCCACTGACTTTCAATTGGACTTGTGAGGTCATTTAGATACTTTACAAACTCCCATCACCCTTGCTTAGAAACTCACAGAGAGGGGATTTTAAGGGCTGTGAAACACACCCATGAAACTGTAAAAAGGAAATGGTTTAATTTTAAAAGTTATGTTGTACCTGGAAAGGAAAAACAAAATAAATACTCTCCCTCAATACTAAAAAGCCAAAAGCTTCAATCATTATGACAGCTAGAGATTTTAACTCAAATATTTTCATTTTAAACTTCATTTCCCAATGTTTAAAATCAATTTTCCAATCTGTGGTATAAATAAATGAAAAAACAAATTAATTTAATGGCAAAGTTTAGCTTGGATTACAGGCATGTCAGTGCTCTCACCTTTAGTGTTTCATTAAACTCTGGATTAGTGGTGTTACTTTTGATTTTGGTCTTGCGTTTACTTTGGCGAGATTTGTCTGGCAGGAGGTATGCTTTGACATAGCTGCAGATCAAGAAGTAAATTATTACCAGAGAATAAAAACAACCAAGTCTGTGGAAGCCAACTGGCAAAACCACACCAGAAATGTTCGCACTTGTAGGAAAAGGCAAGAAGAAAATTCTCTGTGCTTACGGATCTGTTCTTTGCTTCTTTTCATCTGCTATGGCCAGGTTTCTGCAGTTTTTTACCAGGATGTTTAGGGCACCAGTTTTGTAGCTGTAGTTGATGTGGAGAAGTATTTCCCCACTGACTTTCACGTTGCCATAGTCCCCAGTTTCACTGTAAACACTCATCATGCTGTTAATGCTAGTCTGAAATAAAGACCAAGAAGATGACTTGGAAGCTCAATCATTCTCTTTGCAGAACCAGCTTTTTTTCAAATAATGAAGAAAACTAGGATATCAAAGGCCAAACAGAATTATCACTTGCTTGCTATAGAAAGGTATCACAATATCTCAAATGCCTGCACAGTGTTTCTTCAGATGTTAAACTCAAAGTGACTTATAAAGGTGGGTAAGTTGGTACAATCACCATTTCTCAATGGGGCAGCTGAGTAACACAGACATTAAGTAAATTGTCTATGATCACATAGCAAGCCCCAGAAACAGAGAAGTGCCACACTTGGGCAACCCAATGGTTCCTCTCAGTCAGTATGCTGTCTTAGGCAGTGGTCAGTACCAGATGCATCAGAAGAAATGATGTGAAACCCCCTAATGGAAAGGACATAAAAACATATACCTTTTTACAGTAATGTCACCTAATCATGGGTACTTCTAAGAGCACAAGCACATGTCACCAATTTTTTAATTGTCCCTAATACACTTACTGGGAAAGAATGAAATCTTTGTAATACAAAAATGAAACAGTTCGTATGCTGTAGAAACCCATTTTTAAAAAGTCTGACATACATTTTGTGTTGGGTTGTTAAGTAATATTGATCAAAAACATATCTAATGTTTGGTGTCGCTAAACTGTTGTATGTATAAAGCCTATATCAGCCACTAAAAAGTTCTCAACCAAAAAGAAAATGAGAAGGAATGAGAGGGAAACTCTAGAATACCAGGAAAGCAATTCAGAGGAAGCAAGAAAACTCACAGTATCACCATCTGCTTCAGGTACATTTAAGAAGGAGCATTTCCTGTCAGAGCCTTCAGAAAAGTTCTTTCAGGAAGACAGTGCAAAGGTCAAAAGAAAATAGCATTAGATAGCTGCAGTAAGAATTCAGAAAAGCAATGACAAGCTCTACAGACTACACAGGTATGTATAGCACAGGTTGAACTTCTCTAGTCTGGAAACATCTCTGGTCTGGAAACATCTGTCATCCAGAATGATTTTGATTAGCTGGATGTTCACTTTTCATGGGTGTGACCAAATTTCCTGCGGTCCCATGAAGTTTGTTTACAGCCAGCAGTCCTGGCTCTCAGTGTTCTGTGCTGTTATTTAGCTCTAATTTACCCCTCAATGTCCTCTGAAAGCCCAGTAAGCAGTGGAAGTGTTGGTAATGCTGCTAAACAATATTGACCTCCCATGGTCTGGAAAATTCTCTGGTTCAGAACTGGTCAGGTCCCAAGGGCTGGATTAGAGAGGTTCAACATGTAGTGAGGTGCTGCTAAACCATAGTGCTATAGTACTTTTAGCAGTGAGGGACTAAGGTGTAATTAAATCCCCCTCCACTAATGAATTCCATAACCATCTAACAAGTGAAAAAGTGTCACCTACTTAACTGGAGCAATATAAGTTAGCTGCAAACTTAGACAGAATCTGTAGTACTAAAGTAGCACCAAACAAATTAAATGTGAATACCAGCTTGTCAGACAGATTTGCAATTTGGTCCTTAATCCTGGAAACACATGAGTCAATTCTGTATGTGAATATTCCCATTGAAATTAGTGGTCTTGTGTGAACATTTAAGTGTCTACGTAAGAGTTTGCAGCACTGGGGCCTTCATAAGAAACTAGAATTGTGATTAGATCAAGCTTTTCCTAATACTTGCAGGTTGAGAGGTTAATTCTGTGGCGTTTTTAAGGCTACATATAAACACAACCTTTTTCCCACATTACCTTTCATTATTCCTTTAAGATGGGCCCCAAATTTTGTGAAAAAATGACATAAGAATATCCCAGGCTCATTTTCCTCTTGCTGATGAAAGACCTTGGCAAGGTGACTGAAGGGTCTCCCCACCCAGCAGTGTTCCCTGGAAGCTGTGCAACAGCACAGCTTCACAGGTAATTAATCAGCCCCACCCAGTCAGAGGCTCAAGGCTCCATGAATGGAGATGACTGACTGGGCTGGGCAGATTAATCACCTGTGAAGCTGTGCTGCCTCCAATTTAGAGGGAACACTGCTCACCAGTGAGGTCACAGGAGTTTATAAATTGATCACCAGTTCCTTTCTAATCAGAGGGAGAATGTCTGAGGCACAACTTAAGCAATAACCTCTTGTGATATTACTGGTTAGGCCCTCCAAACATCTTGCTAAGGCCCTGCAGCAAAGAAAGAAAAGGAAGGGCCAGTGTGGATATTATTGATACCTCAAATCTTAAACCCCTCCCCCTCCCCCCAAAAAAAACACCACACACCCAGGAAGTAACTTTTTTTTTTTAAGAGAAAAAGTCTGATGTTAATTTTATACATCATAAAAGTGCTCTGGCTCTTACTTGCTATCTGTGTGTTTTGTACTGCAATTCTGCTATGACACTAGAAGGATATGGAGCTACCACTTTCCAGTCAGAACAAGGTATTTGTAGTAATTTATACACATTGGCTCAAATTCCTACGATAGGACTGGTTCAGATCACCATGCAATCAACAGTCTGCATTACTGATTAGATTTCCATCTAGTTTCAATACACTTAGGGCTACATTTTGAAGGGTGTTATCTACGGTGCACCCCTAATATTTATACATCTCAATCATTATGCACATAAAATGGGGTCATTTAAATTTGAATGTAATTATTTATTCTGTGCACAAAAATATATATATTTACTCATGTAAAAGAAATGTACTGATATAAGTGACAGCCTTTGAAAATCTGTTCCTCACATGTTTATGTTAAATCTGTGGAAAAAAAGGATTGTTCTTTGATTAATCTGAGCCCGTTTTTGAATCTGTTGAGGAATACATGGGGAAATGAACATAGCTAAAGCAGTCACAAGTAGAGTCCAGAATTGAAACAGAAAATCCCTGCATTCCTAACAAACCATTCATAAAATCACAAAGACTAATTTAGAAAACATTTGATAATTGAAATATTTCACTTCTTACAATAAAACCCTTTTGTTTTGTGGGATTTATGCTGAGAGTTGTGTTAAATATGATAAATATTGTTTAAAGAAAATATAATCATGTGATAACTGTAAGTCGCAAATACCACAAAGAGTGCTGAATTTCATTTTACTAAACACCTAAGCCCTGTATTTATCAGCTTAGCATTTTACATCTTATTGGCAAAATATAAGACACTGGAACAAGAAATCATTCTGATGCCATATCATGACAAGTTATTATGTCCAATGGAGGAACCCACGAAAAATAATCTCTTCACTTTTAGCCAAAATACTGTGGTTTTGATTTTCGGAGCAAATAAGTTTCTACGCGCTAATCTCCTTACTCGGCTTTCTATAAAATTAGAGCATATTTTGCATTTACAGGTTTATTTTAGGCCACAGTACAGTAACTAGTAATACATTATCAGAGGCTAAAATTCATCCACAAGCAAATTTGAACAACGTTGAAGGATGAGATGCACAGAATAAACTAAATAAAATCAGAAATGCATGAATATTAAAGATAAGGAATATAATCAATGATATACATTCAGAGTAAGTCACAACAGACTTGGAAGACTGATCCCCTCCAGGAGGGAAGAAAAGCTGCTTGCTGATAGAAGCTTTTCCATTACCGTATCATGCAGTGATTTTAATAAGCATGCTGGGATGGACGTGAAGAGGAAAGGAGCACTGAGGCATGAGATCATCTCAGTTCTATTGCAGAAGGAAGGCTGCATTTAGATTAGGAGAATGGTCAAAAGGAATCCATATAGAAAGAAAAAAGCTGGTGCTGAAAGCGCCATGAAAAATGTTCATTAAATACGGATACCATTTAAGGGCCCTTACCAAGAGTATGAGCTTCTGCAAATCATGTCTTAGGGTTCAGAAGACCAAGGAAAGAAATTAATCTATAAAACCTATAGACTAGTAAGCCTTTGGTGCTGGCACTGAATCAAATTCAACCTTGTTTAAGTGGGTGTAATTCAATTGATTTTGATTCAGTTACAGTTGCTTACTAGGGGCTGATCTGGCCTGAAGTACCCAAACCTCTTTACTCCGATTCCTTGAATTCCTTGGGACACTGGAATCTGAAGTTTGACTCAGCCCTTTCTCTCCAAAGCAAGCTGAATACCATGCTGGCAACTGACTGCACGTCTTTTAGAGATGACCTTTGACGGAATTCTGTCCACTTTGTGTGGAGCATTAAAAATGCAATATCACACTCCATAAAAAGAGTTAATTTCCTAGTGTTGTGGTCCAAAATTTCCTTTGCATCAAATGTCCAGATCACTAACTGCCACCCTCCAACCCAGAGATTGCTGCATTCCACTGGCACTGTGTATATTTGCCACTATGGATTCAAATGGTTAACCAATAAGCCTCGCCCTTATTGGGTGACACTTACTGGTTCCAATTAACCTGTGAGGGCTGGAGCAGCTTTCCACCCACCACGAGCAGGGGGCTGCTCCAGTCCTGCAGGGTCCACTGCAGTTGGGGAGAACTCCAGCCCGCCAGAACAGTCACTGTCCAGGGTGGGGCTTCTCCAGCCTGGTCACCACAGGTAGCAGGAGCAGGAGGGCACTCCAGCCCAGCTGGGCTGAAGCATCTGCCCCCTCTTTAATTGGTTACCTGGTTACCATGTAACCAATTAAATGGGATTTTATATCCCTATTTGCCACAATCTTGGGTCTCACAGAGCTCTCCTGGCATAAGATGTAAGAGAGGGTGGAGCAAGGATGGCACTTTTGCAATCTCCCAGTCTCTGGAGCTGCTGGGGAGTCAGTCAGTCATCAGATCTCAGAAGTTAGTTATAAAAGCCTAAAGATGGCTCTAATTTATGTGCACCAACCACTCCCACCAGCTTGCCTCCTATTTCAGTGAGTATAAATTGATTGGCTACGTCTACACTGGCACCCTTTTCCGGAAATGCTTAAAACGGAACAGTTTTCCATTGGAAGTATTTCTGGAAAAAGCGCATTTACATTGGCAGGATGCTTTTCCGGAAAAGCGTCCGTGGCCAATGTAGACGCGCTTTTCCGAAAAAAAGCCCCGATCGTCATTTTCGCGATCTGGGCTTTTTTCCGGAAAAGACTACTGTGCTGTCTACACTGGCCCTTTTCTGGAACAGTTTTTCCGGAAAAGGACTTTTGCCCGAATGGGAGCAGCATAGTTTTTCCGGAAAAACACTGACAATTTTACAGTAGATCGTCATTGCTTTTCCGGAAAAGCAAGCGGCCAATGTAGACAGCTGGCAAGTTATTCCGGAAAAGCGGCTGCTTTTCCGGAATAAGTGGCTCAGTGTAGTCACAGCCCTTGTGTAGAAATGATTACACCAACCTTTATTCCATCAGGTATTCTCCTGCTCTAAGGGAATGCACATCTGATCACTTAATTTAAGGCTGATTTTCACTGCTGGAATAGCAAAAAGCAGCTTTGTTAGAACTAAGAATCTGGTTCACAGAATAGAAGAACTGGAAGGGACCTCAAGAGGTCATCAAGTCCAGCCCTCTGCCTTAATGGCAGGACCATGCACCATCTAGATCATCCATGATAGATGTTTATCTAACCTGCTCTTAAATATCTCCAAGAATGGAGATTTCACAACCTCCCTAGGCAACTGTTTAACAACCCTGACACACAGGAATTTTTTTCTACCATCCAACCTAAATTCCCTTGCTGCAATTTAAACCCATTGCTTCTCGTCCTATCATGAGAAGTTAAGGAGAATAATTTTCCTTCCTCCTTAAAACCTGAAAGATGCTATCATGTCCCCTCTCAGTCTTCTCTTTTCCATAGAGAATGTAATAACTTAAAAGTTTATCATCAGCTTCCAAGATAATTACATATGCGTTGTACTATGTTATTTTCCTATCAACTTGTCTAACTGAATTCCAAAGAACACAAAGAACAAGGTAGCACATTTCCTTCCCAACCTCACAAACACTATTACCTGCTGCAGACTGCGACACATAGACCTGTGGACTCTGCAGCTGCTGTAAAATGAGAGAAGGCATGCAGCTTAACTGGGAGAAGTGACTGGCAGAAGCAAGGTGGTTTATCTGCAACTGCTGTGGTTTCACTTTACAGACAGCAGGAGGATCTGAGGTGGTTGCAGACTTTGTACTCAGTGAAGAGGTAGTAGTGTGTGTTCCAGCTACTGGCTATAGTTTGTAGTGTGTTATGGGAATGAGTTGCAGAGGCATACAGTAGTTATAATGGAAAGCAAAAATGTTCTCTGCAGATCTGATCCCCAAATATTTTACTCTAGACATATGAAATGGCATAAAACATATGAGTCATGCTGGACTATGTTGCCTAGAGAATGGAATATATGAGGATGGTCAGAGCCACCATTAGTACCAACTCCATATGAGTTTTGAGGCTACTAGCACATAATCCCAATGCACAAAGGAAAGCACTTGTAAATTGTTGGGAGTTTAAAAAGCTACTCAGCTTTTCTCAAAGTGAGCCCAACCAATCACAACCTCCTCAAAGGCTGCAATGAGAAGGAAGGAGAGACAAAACAAGGTGAGATCCCATTCTAATGAAATAAAAAGGATGTAAGTCAACCAGTACACTTAAGCTAACTCTGAAAAACTGAGCTCACTGCACACTACAAATCCCTATTTTTATTCTCTCTAAGCATAAGCTTGGTAGTATCTCACTTTATCACTTGTCAGGAGCGCATGAACAATGGCAATAATTTACTCCTTCCCTCCTTACCCACAAACAACAGCCTCAATCCTTCAACTATCAATTAAAATCTTTTCTATCATAAGGATATCTGTGTGTCTCTTCCCTTTCTAATGCCTCAGAACTTGGGAAATTTCCACTGCCACCTATTAACAAAACTATTAAAAAAGAATCAAATATAAGCATTTTCTTTCCTGATGTTTGACATCCTTCTGATCAGAGGATTATCATTACAAGTGACAGAGGATTTTCTTTTAAAGCCATACTATCTCTTTATATCAGTGTCAGCTATTCTAAGTTTGCTCATTTTGACAGAGAATCTTGATTGGCCAGATGTTTCAGATTTACTACTCTATTTTTTAAGTTGTAATTTCTCATTTTTTGCATCACAGTTAAAATTAATTACTATTAAGAACATGGTATTCAGTGTCCCTTCCATACTTCTTTTGGGACCATTTCAAGGTGAGGGCACTCAACACCTTCTGCAAAGTGCTCAGTGCCTCTGGAGACCAGCTCTCAAATCACTAGTGTGCAGGGAGGATAGCTACACTATAAACAACAAATGGATCTTTGCATCATTAGGGATTGTAGATAATGGGATTTTAACTATATAGATGAGAATACTAAAACACAGTGCACAGAAATCACCAAGAACTCAAAGTTACTACTAAACAGCAGCAGGGAAGGAGGCTGGGATATGAATCATTACAAAAAATGTCTAATGAATTAAATGGAATGCTCAGTGTGTGTGCTGCATCATTAGCCCAGTTCTGCTTCAACAAGAAACTGTTTGTTTAGTGAGAGACAGGGAATTCTAGATGTTTTCCAATGAAAAACTTACTGTTGATAATCCACTTGCCAAGGCTCCACGATGTCTAAGATAATGAGAGGCCACAATGTCATCTGCGTCTTCCTCTATCTCATCCAGGTAATCCTAACCACAAAGAAAGTCACTCAGTTTAGGCAAATCTTCCTTCATTGGGTTTTATTCCATATTTTTCTGATTAAGGAAGATGGTGTCAGCACACCTTCCAAACTCAAATCTCCAGAGTTTTTTTATTTACATTTTTAACCATTTGCACACTCACAAGCAGCACAGCAGGAACAAAGGGCACTTTTAGTTCATCTTTCAGCTCTTTGAAAACTGAAATCTCCAGTCTTCTATGTCCCTAGCATAGGAAACTGATTTTTGTCTTTCATGGTGGGACACTGCACCATGAAGTCAATTTTCAAGCACTCTATATTCTCAGTAGTACACCTGAATTACCCAGAATTCTGCTATTACTGCTAAATACCTTCACACATGCATTTAGTTTTGGAGCCTAGGGAGGGATGGGACTAAATCCCTAGTCAGAGCTGTCACACACCCTCTTACCCCAACCCTCTGCCCTAACCATGAGTTACCTCCCATATTCTGAATCCCCTGGCCCTACCCTTGCCACATACCATCTCCATATTAGTGCACATAACAAAATTAATTCCGCTTGTGTATGGAAAAATTAGAGGGCACATTGTTATTGACTGATGCTTCAAGTCATAGTTGGGGCCATTGAAAGAAACGTGTTGTTTCCAGAAAAGTTAATTTGGAAATTTCCAAGGACATTAAATTCATGGTTCTTTCTTCTTCAGCATTATAAAATTTTAACAAAGACATTATACTGTATTTTCATAGGTATGAGTGTGTATATATTTTTATTTTTGTAAAACACAATTTGTTAATTAGGGTACGTCTAGACTACATGCCTCTGTCGTCAGAGGCATGTAGATGAGGCTACCAGGCATAGGAAAATGAAGCGAAGATTAGTAGTCTGGACGCGCGAGTGTCGACATCAAAGGCATTTGTCGACCACCCAGGTATGCCTCATTTTAAGAGCTAGCTTTTGATAAAAACGGAAAAAAATCAAATGAACAGAAAGTTACTATGCTCTTATATGAATGGTGTGGAGACTCTAGGGGTTTTAACAATAATTGTAAAGGTTATTCCTCAGATTTTCAAAGCTGCTGCCATTAGCTTTAACAGGAATTGACTACTCAAATCTCTTAGGCAGATGTTTTGAAAACTGGATGACAGCATCCAAATCCCCTTAGGACTTTGAGAATCCCACCTACATGCTGATCTAAACGTGGATTGTGAGCATGTTCTTGAAAACAAGATATTGCTGGGAAAGCTAGCATTTTACCTCAGACTCTCTCATAAGACCCATAGTTCATTTTACACTGCAGCAAGTATATTTCTCAAGGGTGCTATAGAAGCATACCCACATAATTGGTTACTGTTGCTTATTAAAGTTCGAAGTAATAGAAGACTAAGTAATCTTCATTGCCTCTGTCAGGGTTATAAACACATACCTAATCTAATTACTTCTCCTAAAATGGCTGAGGAAGTGGTGAGTAATGATTTGTATTGCTATAAAGTGGCTGAATAGGTGTTTCTTTAAATAGACCTTTAAAAACTAATTTAGTTTGCTGATACACTTTTTAATTGATTGTTTTAATTCCTTGTTTTTCCCTGTTCTGACAGAAGTATTTTTTGTCAGTAACTATTAATGACCGTTGTATGACCCTGTTATTTTGTTACTAATTTTCTGATCTTTTTTGCCCCCCCCCCCCCCCCCAAGAAATACAGTATTCAATTTTTAAAGTCTATTTAGAAATTGCACCCAAGAAGCCTTATGGAATCAGAAAAAGAAAAGACCTGTCAGTTTTCTAGTTCTTCTTCCTGAGAAAGGAAGACAGTGCCCTACCAAAACCACTACTAGATGATTGGAAGCAAAGGAGGCAAGTGCCTTCCTTCACTCTTTCAGACCACTTGATCCAGGCAACCTGCTTCTCACATCTGTGCAGGACATTCCCCACACCAAGAGCAGCTGCAACCATCTAGGAACAGACACCGCAGGAGTCAGGGAAATAGAACTGACCAGGAGTAAGGGAAATGGAACCTTCTCAACCTCTAGGAGCGGATTCTTCGTTTTGCCCACTACCCCTCAGACATCCCTCATCTTGTTTCTCACCTCCCACACCACTTTCAGGAAACCTAAAACACTGTGAAGGCCACAACCTTCACCTCATAAACACAACATTGGTGCTTAACCTGTCACTTTGGGACAAGGGATCCTGGGGCCAGTGTTCCTGTCTTTCTTAGGTACTTATATGCCCATTATCATTGGGGTATTTGAGCACCTCCCAGCCTTGAATGAATTAATTCTTATGCCACCCCCCTCGTTCAAGCCAGGAAATGCTGGCAACCCCACCGTACAGCTGGGAGACTCCTTCTGTCAGCAAAGGGATGCAAATCAAGCACTTCCAAAGTGCAAAGGAAGCCGGGATTTAAATATCCCATGGTTCATTTGCATAAAGATGGCTGCCACTTTTTTTTTTTTTTAAACGGGGCTTTTTTGGAAAAAATGGCAGTCTAGAGGGGATCTTTCGAAAATACAACTCTTTTTCGAAAGATCCTATATTCCTCCAAAAATGAGGTTTACAGGATCTTTCGAAAAAGGGTTGTATTTTCGAAAGATCCCCTCTAGACTGCCGTTTTTCTTCTGAAAAAGCCCTATTTTTAAAAAAAGCAGCAGCCATCTTTATGCAAATGAAGCATGGGATATTTAAATCCCGGCTTCCTTTGCACTTTGGAAGTGCTTGATTTGCATCCCTTTGCTGACAGAAGGATGCAGTCTAGATATAGCCTAAGTGATTTGCCCACAGTCACACAAAGTCTGTGGCAGAACAGGGAATTGAATATGAGTGTATTCGGTCCCAAGCCAACACCCAATGGTGCTGTAGACAGATCCACAGAGGGCCACGTCCTTCACAGGGCCTGATAAAATGCATCCTAGAGTAATCAAGGAGCCAAGAGAAGAGGCGTCTAAGCCTTTAGCTATTATCTTTGAAAAATCATGGAAGACGGGAGAGATTCCAGAAGAATGGAAAAGGGCAAATATAGAACCCATCTATAAAAACGGAAATGAGAACAACCTAGGAAACTACAGACCAGTCAGTTTAACTTCTGTGCCAAGAAAGATAATGGAGCAAGTAATTAAGGAATTCATCTGCAAACACCTGGAAGATAATAGGGTGCTAGGTAACAGCAAGCAAGGATTTGTAAAGAACAGATCATGTCAAACCAATCCGATAGCCTTCTTTGATAGGATATCAAGCATTGTGGATAAGGGAGAAGCTATGGAAGTGTTATATTTATATTTAGTAATGCATTTGACATAGTCTCGCATGACCTTCTTGTTAATAAACTAGGGAAATGTAATTTAGATGGGGCTACTATAAGGTGGGGTCATAACCGGATAGATAATCATTCTCAGAGAGTAGTTATTAACGGTTCACAATCCTGCTGGAAAGGCAAAACAAGTGGGGTTCCACAGGGAGCTGTTTTGGGATCAGTTCTGTTCAATATCTGCACCAATGAGTTTAGATGATGGCATAGAGAATACAATTATTAAGTTTGCAGATGATACCAACGTGGGAGGGATTGCAAGTGCTTTGGAGGATAGGGTCAAAATTCAAAATGATCTGGACAACTAGAAAAAATTCCTTACTGTCAGGGTGGTTAAACACTGGAATAAATTAATTAGTGAGGTTGTAGAATCTCCATCACAGGAGATATTTAAGAGCAGATTAGACAGACATCTATCAGGGATGAAACAAAAGACAGAACTATGTAGCACTTTAAAGACTAAGAAGATGGTTTATTAGGTGATGAGCTTTCGTGGGCCAGACCCACTTCCTCAGATCAATATGTGGAAGAAAATTGGCACAACCATATATACCAAAGTGATACAATCAAAAAAATGAACGCATGTGAAATTGACAAATCAAATTTTAGAACAGAGTGGGGGTGAGAGGAGAAGATAAGTTTCTGTGAAGTAATGACATAGGGGTGATAACAGGGGAAGTTTCTGTGAGGTAATGACATTAAAGGTGATAATTGGGGATGTCATTACCTCACAGAAACTTCCCCTATTATCAGGCATGGGAATGTCTGAGAGAAGTTAAAAAGTAATAGAAGGTGACAGATATCACTGGGGAGTGGAGACAGGGAGGGTGACATTTTGCAAGACTAGAACAGACAACCAGAAAGAAACAAGGTTGAGGGGCTTTGATCCTGAGTATAACTCAGTATAAAAATAAAATATCCAATATGGCAAGAATTAGTGAAGATCTGAAGTGCGTAATGTATTACATCATTCTAAGATGAGACTCCATCCACTTATAAACTAAAAAATTCCCAGATGAATAGCTATTGTATTTATCATAACTATAAAGAGCCTTAAATGTAGCTATTACTTTGAATCAATCCATACACACCATGCTTGGAAAGCAATGCTGTCCAAGGACAACATTTTTTAACTGATCACAAAATTCCATGGAACTGAGACACCTTATTGCCAACACCTCCTCCCCCCCCACCCCGCCCCAAACACATTTGTCTCCATTAATCCAATACTATTCTACTCCAATTTTTAAAATGACTGTAGTGTGAGGTGCTTTAAATTCTTACGATTGCAGCATAAGCTAGATGCAGGTTTGAATTTATAAAAAGCTAAATTCACTCCTGTGCAGAGCTAAAAGTTTAAAGATTATACTGACTTCAGAAGCTAGAGTAACAATTTTTCCACCTTGTGAGAGTTAGTGTCATTTCTAACTCACCAGGTTCTGGTCTAAAGCTTCAGGTACAGATTTACTTCTTAAGCTTATAGTATCCTTGTTTTCTTCTGAGAAGGACCCACTCAAATCTATCTCCGATCTGCTGAGATCTGGAAAAAAAAGAAGAAAGGAAGATGTTCATTAGTCAAAACTCTTCTTTTCATATTGCCACTTTTTAGTAGTAGTTGCTACAACACCAGCATGTTTTTTTTTAAACCGAATTAAACTCATCTCCGTCCAGGTATTTGTGCCACGCACTCGATTGTGGTATAGAAGCATCTTCACTGAATGAAGGAAACGTGATTTTTACCATAGTGTTCAGCTTTTTGGATATCTCCTTTCCTCCAGCACTATTCTTTGCTATATGGTTCTGTCCCCTGTGGGTCACACTCTATTCAGCTTTTGGCCTTCTTGGATGAGGCCACCTGCTTGGGTCATCATGATATCACAGACATAGGCAGCAGGAGCGCTGGATGAATTGATGTTCACAATGATGCTTGCAACCCTTCACCTCAGCAAATAAGGAGAAAAAAATTGAGTCCCAGTTTCACTGTTGAGTGAATGATGATACTGTGACCTGGGAGTCCCTCAGTTCCAACAGGCATGTAGAGTATATCCGTTATCATCATTTTGCCCAAGATGTAATAAACTAGTACCCTGGCATTACATTTTGCAGTAACTCAACAAGCCTGACACAGGCATTGCCCCAACTCTCTGTCGTCATGATATTCATTTAAGCCGTCTCTTGCAATATACCATTTGAAAACTAACAACATGCTGGCCATTGTTGTCACTGTGATGATGTAGGTACTACCATTGTGTGTGAAATTATGGATAGTCTCAGATATTATGTTTTGGAGGTAAAAGAGGTGTTTCCCTGAACAAAAAAGGCGTATTTATTTGTCTGACCTGTGTGATCACAGGCAAAGGACAATGCAACTATATTTGCATATAAGGTAAACAAAGCTGTCAAACTAACAAGCAGGAGAGAAGACTGCTTAACAATCACAATGAGAGACAGAATGTGCATTCCAGGAAGACTGGCTCTTGAGACAGAGACAATAAACACTGGTCAATATAAAGACCACCAAAGAGCCAGCAATTCATATTTAGGAATGTTTGCTGACAATGTGGTGTGAGTAAGAAACTGTTAGGCAAAGCTACTACAATTAAGTTTTAGAACAGAGATGGCCAAGAGAGCCTCTGCGGGCCGAATCTGGCCCACCAAGCTGGTTGATCTGGCACGCCTCTGCCATGCCACTCTTCTCAGCCCTAGGCCAATCAAGACCTGGGGACGGGGGAGTGCACAAAGTCTCCTCCTGCCCTGTTTTGAACAGCTGGCGGTTCTCTCTAGGGGTGTGTCTAGACTACATGCCTCCTTCGACGGAGGCATGTAGATTAGCCAGATCAGAAGAGGGAAATGAAGCCGCGATTAAAATAATCGCGGCTTCATTTAAATTTAAATGGCTGGGGCGGCCCACCCGTCCCGCGCTA